CACACACACACACACATTTGAAACTCGCGCATTTTTGCGTCTGCCTTCCACTTGACTATCTGTTTGATCGATGCAACCGGTCAATTGTGTCGGGCCGCCCTTGCCTAACTACGAAGTTCGGCTTCAAGACCGGTTGCCTGCGTGAGAGCCTGAATGACAGGGTCAAGGTTACCGAGGAATGATAATCCTAACTTTAAGTTAGAGCTGACGCAAATAATCTCCAACTAAGAGTCATAGTTACTCCAGCCGTTTACCTGAGATTCTTTGAAATTTTTCACATTGACATTCAGAGCACTGGACAGAAATCACATTGCGTCAACACCCGTGGGGACTATCACAGTGCTTTGTTTTCATTAGACAGTCCGATTTTCCTAGTTCGTACCAGTTCTGAGCTGAACGTTGAATGAGGACCGAAGAGAGTGATAATGATTGGCTATGCCCTTGTAGAATATTATTCCGTCGTGGAACAAAGAAGACCCGTTACGGTCTTCCAACAGCCAGGTCTTAGGGTCAAACAAGTGGGCATCGGAATTTTCCGCTCCATGCCTTCAGCATGTTTGACTGCTTTACCTTTTTTCTTTGACTTCTCGTGTCGCGGAACACGAGAATCCTGGAAATCCCTAATTTAACGAAATTAGGCGACGGCTCTTAAGACTTGGCTGACAATAGGCCTGAGGGCTCCACGTGGTCCGCACACGTTGGAAGCCTCAGGCCCTCGCTAGGGGTAATAAACGACCGATGGGGTCACCAGCGCGCGGGTGGACCCCAGGTACCCCACCTTGGAGGAGAGGGTTTTCTCCACTATCGTTGCTTTTTGGGGGAACCTTCCCTTTCTCCAAGGTCACCGATTCGCGAACCAAGGGAACGCCCTTGGTCAAAGACAGCCAATCATATTTGGCGAGCTCCCGATTTTTCCTAAGGCCGATCTGAGGAAGATCGCGGAGCTCACTTCCTTACGAAATCTGAGAGACACGGGTTCTCTCTAAAACACTTCTTTTCGAAACGTCGAACGTCGTAGACACGACTCTTTTCCGCTCCTACAACTTAAACAGTTGCCCAATATTAATTTGGCGGGCAACACGTGTCGTAGTCGCGAGACGGCCTTACAACCCGTCGGAAATACGAGAATTTAGATCGCGACGCGACGCGACAAATATGAATATCAGGTTTAGGGTAAATACCACTCCAAATATTCTGTCTCCAAGGGAGAGGTTTATTAAGTACAATAGTTAACTCGATTTACTCGAACGGAGCTAGATATTGACTTCTTTGCGCTGAGCTGACTTGTGGTTCCTATGATGGGCTGGTGTTCTATGGTGTTGGCTTCTTGGTATCTCCGTGGTCGTCGTCGTTATTGACAGGGTAGCAGATAGAAGGACGACAGGAAAAGGAAAGGATTCGTTTCGTCCTGGGCCTGCTAGTGGACTCATCAGTAAGGCTACCCTAGCAGGCCCTGCCTTAGACTAGGGATACTTAGGTGGCATAGGAACTTCTATTTAAAGGAGATCGAGGCTTCACCGAGAATTTGCGAGAAATTCCTCGAACCTTCTTCAAGTAGGAATCCATCTATTTCCGATGGTGAGAACTTGATCGCTACACCGTCATGGAAGCCTCGCAGCAAGGAAGATCCGCGGAAGAAAAATGTTTCCTCCCCACAGGGAACTAAACTCGGGTTTATAAGGTACAAAGTTCCGGAACGTTACCCTCACGTCGCTATTCGTCTTATCCGCTTTAGCCAAAGTTAAGTGCACGCGTACTCGGTGAATATTCAAAGTCGATTTTCAACAACAAAGTTTCGAGTGAAAAAATTATATTATTCCTTTTCGATTTGTTCTTTCATATACGATCACCCTCTTGCCAGGTGTGCTGGGACACCCCGTGTAGCAAATATTTGTGGACCATATGATGGATCCAAAAATGATGCATCAGTTGTAAACGAACTGTTGTTAGAAGTCAATACGTGAAATTAATTTGAACCGCATGGTGTTTTCTTCGTAGATCGTGGTTTTCGAGACTCACGGAAGAATTCATTGCTAAAATGTCATCGTTTGTTGATGGACTTTGGAAATCATTGACAGTTGGACAAACTAATCCATCATGACTCATTACAAAAAATTACGAAATAATTAACTCTCGCTCAACGGTAACGGGGTTTATCGACACTATACACTGATATTCTAGTAATACATGCTTGACACTCCCACCTTTATTCCATTACTCCCATCACTCCCTGGATTAGCCAACCGTAGATGAGCAACGCGGCGAGTCAACACCGAATCAGCTTTGCATCTAACTTTTTGGTGCAGCATATTATCTAATAATAATAATAACACGAGGAGAAGAAGAATTTGTTTAAAAAATGTAAAATTTTATAAACGTATTTGTTATTTATGTGCACTGGGTACATACAACATTATTACGTTTTATTACAATTTCTTTATATGAGCAGTTCACTGCACAAATTGATTAACTCCATAAAGCAAAAAGTGGAAAAATGCAATGAAATAATGTATATTGTTTTTTAAAATTCCCTTTATAATTTAAATTGAAATAAATATCGTCGAATGCATAAATACAAATGTAACTTTCATCTAACGGTATATAAAATTTATAAGAAAAAATAGCCAAAAGGTAATCGTTAGTAATGTTACCATTTTTATGTTACTGGAAGAGTTAATCGATTTGGCAAGTGAAAAAAGTAATAAATTTAAATTTTACTAAATTTTATTTAAATTCTGATAAGACGGCGCTAAAAAATTCACCGTTATCATTCATGGCTTGCTAGTGCATTTGAGTTGCATTATTGCAACGATTTACATTAGAGTACGGAGTTAATCAAAGCGACCTCTGAAATAAATTATTTATTATTCAGTGGGCAAAATATTTTTGTCGTTTAATGGTGTTAATCTTAATTATCGGGAAAGTTATTATAAATATAAAAAGTTATAACTATACCAAGTGGTTTGACACTTAAATTTAAAATTTTTTAAAAAGTGGTGTTAATCGATTTGTGCAGTGAACGGCATATTTCCGCATAATACTTTGACTTCTTTTGCGATTCATTGATGATTCTGTTTGTTTGTTCTTAGCTTCAGTGGTCAAAATAATATGCTCTATGTAATGATAGTTCATAAAATAATTCATAAAACGAAGACATATTTAGCCGATTTATTCTTTCCACTGTCCCACTGAATACTTCTAGCTGAAGATGTTGGAATTCTCCACGCAGTCAGTCGTTTATGTTATCTTAACACTCTCCGTTACCTCTAGCACATATTAACAATAATCATTGCTCGCGATAAATCTGCGTAAAATTCATGTTTTTTGGAACTCGTTTGTGACTGCTCTGAATCACCCCTTTCGCACGTATCAACAGTCTTTCGAATGTCTCGCCATGGCGTCATTCTTTGTTGCTTCAGATTTGAGTTTTATTCCGATCGTGTAATCCTGTAGCAATCTGGCAATGATTCACCAATAAGACTTTCACGAGAATTTTCAATTCCGTTATTTTTCAACATCGTTACGATGCAGCATGCTCAACCTGTCCACCATTTTGACCCTTCATTTAATTGTGAGAAAGATATTCAACTTAACTACAAGAACTATGTCCCTCGTATATGTTTATTTATCGATACTTGCTTTTATTTCATTCGCAACAAGAGCATTTGCCAAATTTCATATGTTATAATTTAATAGTTTAGTTTTGGATTAAACGAATAACGTGTGAGTTTCAAACTAACGTGTTTCCAGTAATAAAAATGACATTACATATTAGAAAGAAAATAAAAATGTGAATTACAAGTACAGTTACGGAGTTATTCTCCGAATAATGCATGTTCCCTTGAAATTGTTAACTTATCGTGTATTGGAATTTAATTTCTTTTTAAAGAAGTGATATTTTAATTTAGGTGCTCCTGTAGGTTCCCTTCTCTGTGGAACTAAAGCATTTGTTGCTAATGCAAGAAGAATAAGAAAAGTTCTTGGTGGTGGTATGAGACAGGTTGGCGTTCTTGCTGCAGCTGGACTTGTAGCTTTTAAGCACATTCCAAACTTGGCGAACGATCATAAAAGAGCTTTCGCTCTTGCCTCTGCAATAAATGAAATTCGATCGTCAAGGTATTCGGTTAATTTATCTACTGTACAAACCAATATGGTTTTCGTAGACATTGATTCTAAAGTCGCTAACACAGAGACATTCGTTCACTGTTTGCAAGATGGCGATGAGGACAAAGTCATTGTAAAATGTATAGCACTGAGTGATTCGCAAGTCAGATTTGTATTTTCTCGCGAAATTACAGACCACGGATTGGCGTTGGCTATTGAAAAAATTACACGTGTCATTCGAAGACTGGATCCTAACCTTTAATTGCTTTGCTTTATTTTATTTGTTGATATTATTAATGGATTCTCATTATTGCAGTGTAAGGGTACATGTATAAGGGTATATATATGTAATGTAATGTAAGGAACAATTACAGAAACAATTACTTTTTATAGGTTTATGGATTTATGTTTTATATTCTTTATGTATATTCTTTGTGTTCTCTTTGATGTATTACGTAATACACACACGCTTCTATATATATTAGTTAAACGCACCTAAAATTTATTGAATCTTAACCTACACCAGCGATGCATCCTTGATCACAACTCCCTTATAGTAGTTATTGATGTTGTTATCTATGGTTTGGGAATAAAAATATATTTATTTGGATATGTATCATTTTTGTAAATACTAATAATTTAATAATATTGTAGGAATGGTTAGCGTGGAATATTCCACGCACGATTTTATAGAATTTTCCGCTATTATGGAATATTCTGCGCTCACTAATAGTAGACAGTCGCGGGCTGACGAAATATTTCACGCTTGGATGCAAATAATATATAAGGGTGCATGGACGAGAAACGAACAGTTCGAAAGGAGAGTCCTGTGAGAGTTAGTGTGAAAGGTCACAGCATCTAAATCAGTTTATAATAAATAATAGTTTTATTATCTACCACCGTCCTTTTGCTGCCTCCTAAATAATTCCTACAATATGCCCTGTGACTAACTTAACTATACTCAGAAAAGAACGCGATTGACAGGAGTGCTAAGAGGAACCACTGAAAGCAAGTTCAGTCTCCTCTGAAAGCAGGGAAATAAAAGTGGGAGTGTCTAACTAACTAACATTTTTCTCTCTGTGTATTTTACGAAACTGGAAGTAGATTATTGTAACTAAATGTTTATTCATCTCACGATACATGCTATTATCATCGGTATGTCTCAGTGATACGGCCATAAACTTATTTTCAGTCATTTTTAGCGATACATTCGCAATGGCGCGAAGCGTTCAACCGTATGGGACATTTTAGATGATTTTTTCAATTAATTTGGATTAAAACTATCGTTGGTTATCGATAAAGGCAAGTTTAATTAAAACATTGACACTGGAACTATCAAAGGGGTCAAAATGACTTGTTTCAGATATTTTGTTTTTACAATGTCTGAAAAAATATGAACTGCTTTCGATAAAATTTATTTCATTTATTATTTATTCTAGTTTATTACACAGTAATAATAGTCCACCCATAAAATGTTCAATAAACACATTTTTGTTATTGTTTCGTGAATCAATGTATTTATGTTATTGCTTCTACTGTGTAATAAAACTAGAATAGATAATAAATGAATATGTCAAAAAGCTTTTTCTTCAAATCAATTTGTTTAGTAGTTATAAGAGCATTTGTATCACAACAACCATGCTGTGCCAATACTTTCGTCCGGCACTGTACGTAGTTACTCGTTATAAGTCGTAGAGCTAGCTGCAGATCTGTACAATTTATTACTTTAACCAGTTAGCTGTGATTGACGAGTATACTCGTCATGCGTAAAAAGTAGTGACCATTGGCTATTTAAATTGTAATTTTTGTGAAAAATAAAACATATTCTTAAATTTCAAGATGTTTCGAATATTTTGAGACCACGCCGGAATGAAACAAACAAATAAAAAATATGAATAATTTGAGACGAACTCGTGCGTCCCCGTATGTACAGGCTGAAACAGCTTATCGGTTCGCATAACGAATTTATTTATGTGCGGTGATAACGTTTTTTAGATGTTAGCGTAAAAGGGGCAAAAGCAAACGTCGGAAAGCTGATGTATGATAGGGTTCCTTCAGGGATGGTCCACCACGGGACAAACGCGTGACGCTGACCAGGCGCTGAGCCCATTGATGACTGCTGGCCCGAAGTTACCCAGCTATTTTCTGACGGTCACTAAAATTCATAGATATCCATAAAAACAAACCAATAAGAGAATAGATGTTAACCAAATAAGTAAATATTAGTAATAAAATTATCAATTTTATAAAATAAACTCATCTTTTTGATCCAATATTTTAACAGCGACACTTACTCTGTTATTGACGAGTATACTCGTCATCGCTCGATTTTCGTGACACATATAGGTGCACGCTCTCAAAAGGGGACGCCACAGCTAACTGGTTAACAATGCTTTATATTCAGTCAGTTGTTTGCGGTTCTTATCTCAGTGCAGAAAAAAGTCTCTCCACCCGTGAACGTGAAAATGTCAGTGGAAGGGTGTGAAAGCGATTCTATTGAAATTATTTTTCCTAACAGACGTACTTTCGTACTGTCGAGCGTACTTTCTATGCACTATTCTTGCATTTTCATAAAAACTTCTTTATCTGACAGGAATTTGCTACACAGTCACTTATTCTGTGGGCTTTTTTGGGGAAGAAACCATGGAACAGAATTGTCGAAACAGTTTTTAGTTCGATTAGATGGAGAAAATATTCGTCGACAACGTGTATACGAGGTGCTACCGCCACGCGGCCATTGCGCGCGTTTCTAGCTTCGACAGTGCCGTAGCTACGCATAATCCGTGTTCCAAGTGCTATGGAACTAACCTGTAACAATCTACGAAAAACAAAAAAAGAAAATACAATTTTACGATAAAATTGCGGAAAATTCACAAAATTTACAAGGAACTTTGAAAATTTTCAACATAGGGTGTCCCAAAAAAACGTATACACACTTTAATACCTTATTCTTTCTAATTTATATTAATTTATTACAATATAAATATAATTTATTTATAATTACGTAAAGTGTGTATACATTTTTTGGGACACTCTGTATATAGTTAATATTTTAAATTTGAAGCGTAGAAAACGATATCAATTACCGTATCGCACAACGTGGAGGTGGTTGCGCATCGCGAACCGGACATTGCACCCCTACTAACTCCATCTGTATTAACACGTTGACTGCCACGCGTGCCTTGAACAAAATCTCCGTGAGGCCACCCGTGTCGCTGTAGGAAGCGTGCGCTGCTTACTCATATCTGTTTCTCTTTCTTTTGATACATTGTTACGATCCTCATTTGTCACCTTACTACTCTGCATGAACAGTTGGAATCTTTGCCGAGTACTGAGTGGTATAACTTAAAATTTCTGCCCTAATTTTTTTCAATAATGAAGAAAAAAATGAGAGTCAGTTCTTAGTTAATCATATAGCAGTGAAAAAAACCTGTTACGATATTTATACAAATTCGGATAGCAGCGATGAGGAAGAGATCGGATTGTCGAGGAGAAAAATAAATAGAATTACATCGTCAGATTCTGATTCGGATACTGATAAATGCAATGTTAGTGATAATGAATGTTACGAAGATGCTGTTGACGAGATTTTACGAGAATTGGTCTTGGAAGAAGAAAGAAATGTTGATGATACTGAGGAAGCTACAATTCAACATAGCGAATGGAATGAATTTAGTGGTCGGCAAAAATCATTTTCTTTTCAAGAAACAGGCGGTCTCAATACGCAATTACCTGACGATATCAATCCGTATGATGTGTTTCAATTGTTCGTCGATGATCAAATCATAAACTTGCTTGTATTCGAAACCAATAGATATGCGCAACAAAAGTTAACCCTCTATGGGCCCGTGTAACTTTCAAGTTACATGCTAATGCATAGGTATTTTATTAAATATTACATTCAACATTATCGTCTTCATCACTTCAGTTCGCGATTTTTCTTTCGATATATTAATAATTATTTTTACAATACCTCTCGTGGATCCGTTTTTAAAAATTCTAATTCTTTTTCATTTACCGGTTATTTGATCATGATCATTAGGTCTTCTATGACCCCCTATGACCTTTTTTCCACAAGATGGCGTGGAAAATTATCTCTTCTATCTATTGCACATTCTCTTGGCAATAGTACAAACGTTGTTAATTCAAACTTTGAATATGAATTTGTTATAATAAAATTGTCAAAACTGCTGAATTTATTGGTTGATATTTGTTCATTTTATGTTACATACAATTCTTATAGCCAAGAAAAATATATATTTGGTCCATAGAGGGTTAAATGAATCGAGACTAATACCAGGTTCACAGATGCATAAATGGAAACCAATCCTGAAGAGATAAAACAATTCTTGGGATTAATGTTGTGGATTGGATTCGTAAAAGTAAGCCCTATACCCAATTATTGGACCCAAAACAAGTTGTATAATTTCCAACTACCGTGTGGCATTATGTCACGAAACAGATTTGAATTATTACTGAGCAACTTTCATTTTGTCAATAATATGTCCATTGCCCGCGATGATCGGCTTGGAAAAATAATTCCATTTTTCAACAAATTGCAAGGAAAGTATCAGGAAGCTTACACGCCTGGAGAAGACATTGTCATCGATGAAACGTTGATTCCATGGCGTGGAAGACTCATCTTCAAACAATACATGTGGGATCGGGGTGGGTGGATTGGCTAAAGTAACGTTGTTTTACTACTTCTTAAAATACAATAAACTTATACTTATTGGCTACGAAACTGGAGACCCGCTACGGGTACCCTCGACTTTTCCTGCTTACACACTATTTGGAGGACCGTGAAGGACTGTTGCTGCCCGCGCCCTGGCACCCTTATTTAAGCATTCACTCTGTTCTTTTCCATACCCAGGCTTTCCTTCGCAATCATACTTCTTTCCTATGCTACCTCGGAGGGCGCGGTACTTCAAACACTGCACGCATCTCTAATCTTTCGCTCTAACCTAAACATTCATTGAAATCGATACTCTTGCGCGCGGTCTCTTTCGTTCTGGGTCCAGACACACCTGCCACTCTTCCAGGGCCGTTCTTATTCCAATCCCACATACATTCCAAATAAAGCGCACAAATACGGAATCAAATTATTCAAATTATGTTCAACCGAAGGACATACACGGGCAATGAAAATTTACTCTGGTAAATCAGCTGAAGGTATTAGAGAAACTGGATTGGCACACAATGTGTGTCTACAACTTGCAGAGAAACTCTTCTACCAAGGACGAACATTGTACATTGATAATT